TTCCACGGAGGTGGAAGGGATAGTAGCCAACCCGGGAAGAACCAGCAGCAAACCCGGGGAGGGCAGAGCAGACAGAAAGAACAGCGCAGGGTCCTGTGTCGTTCCTCCACGAAGAGGGGGAGCGACATATTCTATCCTCCATTATTTTTTATGAGATTTCAGGAAAAATTCTTACCACTGTTCATTTGTATAAAGTGCCTTTCTTCTCTCCCTGCTTTGCAATTTTTCTCTTCATCTTTAGAATTTTAGGAGTCTGACTATAACTTAATTAGCTGTGGTTTCCTTTTTATTTACTCTGCTCAAAGCTTTCTTAGATTCTTGGATCTCTGGGTTGCTACTCACTTTTGGATTTTTGCACATTGATGTTACGGGAATGTCAATTTGGGACCTCAGTTCTTTGTGTGTTTCAAATAACTGTAATTTTATAGACCATCTAGCTTGCTCTCATTTTTAAGGTGAAAGCAACTTTCACTTGCAAATTTTTAGATCTTCAGCACAAGTGGAAGGATTCAGGACTACTGCCTAGTACACATAAAATTCTATAATGATACCTCTAGGGTATGTCATATTTTATTCAAAGAAAAAATATCATATATTAAAACCTAAAATTTATAACTATTGAGTTATTTTAACTATGTTTGTGGGATAAGGATATAGTTACATATTTTTATCAAGTTAAACATGATCTGGAAGGTAGATAATTCACTAAGCTTGAGTTGTATGTACTTAAAAGTGAAAACAATGGGACTGGAAGAATGGCACAGTGGGTAAGCTACCACCTGCAATGCTAGCATTCCATATGGATGCCAATTCAAATCCTGGTTGCTTTATTTCCAATCCAGGTCCCTACTAATATGCCTAGGAAAGCAGCAGAGGATGACTCAAGTGCTTGGGCCCTTGTACCCCTGTGGGGGACACAGATGAAGCTCCTGGGTCCTGGATCAGCTTGGCCCACCAGAGCAAACAGCAGATGGAAGATCTCCCTCTCTTTCAATCTCTGTACTCTGCCTTTCAAATAAATAAAAATAACTCATTTTAAAAAATGAACACAAGAAGAAAATTCAGTAACAATAAAAGTAAATAGTATTAGTTTTTGTCGCTCCCCCTCTTCGTGGAGGAACGACACAGGACCCTGCGCTGTTCTTTCTGTCTGCTCGGCCCTCCCCGGGTTTGCTGCTGGTTCTTCCCGGGTTGGCTACTATCCCTTCCACCTCCGTGGAAGGGCAGTTCCCCCTGGCCACATTCCCCACTTCCGCAGGGGAGCGGCACACCGCCGGCCGGCTTTCTCGGGGGCTGCACAGGTGTTCCCTTAGATGTTCCCCTTAGATGTTCCCCTTAGATGTTCCTGGTGCATGCCGTCTCTCTCCTCCTTTATAGTCCTCCTCTGCCAATCCCAACTCGGCTGCCCACACGCCGAGTACGCTGCTCTCCTCCAATCAGGAGCAAGTCCTACAGTTTATTGGCTGAACTGGAGGCAGCTGTGCAGAAGCTGTTTACTTCTCTCCCAGCGCCATATTGTGGGAGAGCAGATGCATAGAATAAGTCTTAATTCCAGTAACTCAGTCCAGTCCGGGCTGCTCCCCACAGATCCCCCTTTCTTTTTATTTTTTTGGCGTTGATACGCGCCTGTCTTCGGTGTCCCGCGGCACACACTCTGCTCTACTTGCTAGAGTTGCCACAGGTTCTTACAAGTCCTATCAATCAGGCAAACCGAATCCAGGTCCTCTCTTCGCCATGTTGTGAGGAGGTTTTTAGGCGCTGATGCGTGCCTGTATTCGGTGCCCTGCAGCGCATGCTCTGCTCTGCCCGCAGGGGCTTACAAGCCCTAACAATCAGGCAAACCGAATCCAAGCCTTCTCATTGCCGTATTGTGGGGGAGACTTATTAGTGTTGGTTCGTGCCTATCTTCGGTGACCTGCAGCTCATACTCTGGTCGAGCTGCTTGCTGGTGCTTACCGCCTTAATCAGGCAGACCGAATCCAAGCCTCCTAATTGCTGTATTGTGGGGAGGCCTTACTGATGTTAATTCGTGCCTGTCTTCGGAAACCTGCGGCGCATAAGCTGCTAGCCGCCCGCAGGTGCTCATCGCCTCACTTAATCAGGCAGACCGAATCCAAGCTTTCTCATTGCCATGTTGAGGGGAGGCCTTTCTATTTCTCTATTTCTCTATCTCCGGGCATTCCTATTTCTCCCATTTTACTTCTATCTTCCAGCATTCCTATTTCTCTATTTCTCTCATTTTACTTCTAAACTTCTGTTTCTCTTATCCCCGCGGCCTCCCGGCGCCCGCCCCGAGGCTATTTCTCGGCGGCTTTCTGGCTGAGCCGCTTCAGCCCGCTTCTCTCTCATCTGCGCGGCTCGGCTTTGCGCGCACACTCCGCGGTCTCTCACTAGCCCTTTCGCGTCTGAACCACGGCCTCGCGCCAGCCCCGCGTTCCCTATCTATTCACGCCCCGTGCTCTCTCTGCACGCGGCGGCTTCCGCGAGTCACACAGCGTAGCTTGCGTGTCCGCCACTAGCATTCAATCTAAGTTCCCCAGGCTAGCCTGGCGAATTCAACCCAGCTTACGTCTCCGCCCCACGATTTGGCTTCCCGTCCTTTGCTCCCCGGGCTAATCAGACGGATCCCAATCTGGCTTACGTTTCAGCTTCTGGTTTCAACTTTTCGCCCCCTATTCCTGGGCTAACTTGAGAATCCCAAAGTGGCTTTCGTTTCCGCCTCGGCCTGCCCCCCGCGGCTTCAATTTCCCTAACATTTTTCTCTACCCGGTATGTTTCCCCAAGCTTTCCTCCAACAATACTCCTCCCTCATTTCTCCTGGCCTCTCCCCACAGTCCGCATCCGAGTCTGTTCTAGCTTTCACTTTCGCTTTCGACCTTAGAGATTTCTCCCAGCTTCCCCCCGTAGTCCGTATCTGAGTCTATGCCTAGGCTTTCAATAGCTTCTTCCGGCACCTTTTTCGTCCGGCTTTCCCCTAGGCTGTTTGCTAGTCTCTCTCTCCGGTATTTTCCACTTCTTCCTGTTTCTTCCCTCCTAAGTTTTCTATCCGTCCTAGGTTTCCTATCCGAGTCACGGCACCATTATGTCGCTCCCCGTCTTCGTGGAGGAGCGACACTGAACCCTGCCTAGGCTTCATATCCGAGTCACGGCACCATTATGTCGCTCCCCCTCTTCGTGGAGGAGCAACACAGGACCCTGCGCTGTTCTTTCTGTCTGCTCGGCCCTCCCCGGGTTTGCTGCTGGTTCTTCCCGGGTTGGCTACTATCCCTTCCACCTCCGTGGAAGGGCAGTTCCCCCTGGCCACATTCCCCACTTCTGCAGGGGAGCGGCACACCGCCAGCCGGCTTTCTCGGGGGCTGCACAGGTGTTCCCCTTAGATGTTCCCCTTAGATGTTCCTGGTGCATGCCGTCTCTCTCCTCCTTTATAGTCCTCCTCTGCCAATCCCAACTCGGCTGCCCACACGCCGAGTACGCTGCTCTCCTCCAATCAGGAGCAAGTCCTACAGTTTATTGGCTGAACTGGAGGCAGCTGTGCAGAAGCTGTTTACTTCTCTCCCAGCGCCATATTGTGGGAGAGCAGATGCATAGAATAAGTCTTAATTCCAGTAACTCAGTCCAGTCCGGGCTGCTCCCCACAGTTTTCATATTTAATTTATAATCAGAAAATATAAATTTTATGTTGATTTAATTTCAATTAAAATTTTATCTCAGTATTGCAACAAAATGTGATCTGAACACTGAACATTTCATATTTTTTAAATGATGCTTTAAATAAACAAAAATTATAATTTTTTTAAATTCAAGAAACATCTCAAAGGACAGGTGTCTGGCATAGTGGTTAAGATGCTGCTTGGCACATCCACATCCCCTATCAGAATGCCTGGATTCAAACATCAGCTTCACTTTTTTTTTTTTTTACAATTACTTATTTCAAAGGCAAAATTACAGAGAAGAAAAGACAGAGATACTCATCAACTGGCTCACTCCCCAAATAGTTACAATAGCTAGCACTGGGCCAGGCCAAAGCCAGGACCTTGGAATTCCATGCAGGTCTCCCACATGGGTGGCAGAGGCCCAAGTGCTCAGGCCATCCTCTTCTGCCTTCCCAACAACATAAGTGGGGAACTGGTTGTGAAGTGAAGCAGCCAGGATTTGAACTGTAGTTCATATGGGATGATGCCATTGTTGCAGGTGACTTAACGTGTTTGGCCAAAACATGATCTTATTTTTATGATTTTTTTATTTGTTTAATTTGAAAGGCAGAGTGACAGACAGAAAGAGAGATTTTTCCATTAGCTGGTTCACTCTCCAAATAGCTGCAACAGCATGGGCTGGTACAGGCCTAAGCCAGGAGCCCAAAAGTCCATCCAGGTCTCCCATATGGGTGGCAGGGGCCCAAGTACTCAAACCATCTTCTGCTACCATCCCAGGAGCATTAGCAGGGGGCTGGAGTAAAAGTGGAACAGCTGGGACCAGAACCAGCACTAACCCCTCACAAGCAGCAACTTAAGCTATGACACCACCACGCTGTGCACTCCATTTTCACTTCTAATTCAAGTTTCCTACTATAAGCACACTCTGGTGGCAAGTGATAGATCAACTAGCTGGGTCCATGGCACCCAGGCTGATTTCTGGAATCTTGAACTGCACCTTACTCAGCCCCAGTTATTGGGGCATTTGAGGAGTAAACCAACAGATGGAAGATGGCTCTCCATGTCTCATTTCTCTGCCTTTCAAATACATAAAAATCAATCAATAATTTTTTTGAAAAATGAGCATCTCAAAAATGTAGTTTTATAACTTTATCATGTTTATAAATAGGAGATCCATACACTATTGCTCACTATAAGCAATTAAATAATGTCTCCAATTAAATTATGGAAATGAGATAGTATACATGAGCATTATTCTGTGAAAAAATTTTCATCAATATTAATGATGCTGAAAAGTAAAATGGATTTTAGAAATTAGAGCTACAATATCTGTAATTTTTACTGTACCTGTAGTGTGAGTCTCTTCACTGCATTCCATACGATTCCAATAAATTCTTTCATTCTTTCTTCTGGACTTCTACAGCCTTTGGATACACTCAGCATGGCTTTCACAGGAACTGACAATGGTCGGGATTCTAGCATAAAAACATGTACTTAATTAACAGAAATCTACCTTATATGTTTGCAAAAACATACAAGAAGTATTTTCAAGACTGTTTCTTTCTTTTAAATTATAACTTTCATCAGATTATAAAATTTCATGTTACATTTTCTATGCTACAAAATTATTTATCAAGAAGGAATTTGAAACATTTTTATAAAAAGGATTTATTTTACTTATTTGTATGCAGTTACAGAGAGTGGGAGTCACAGTGAGAGAGCAAGAGAGAGAGAGACATCTTGCATCTGCTGGTTCACTCCTCAACTGGCCACAATGGCCAGGGCTGGGCCATACCAAAGCCAGGAAAACCATCCAGATTGTCCGTGTTGGTGTCAGGGGCTCAAGTACTTGGGCCATCTTCCACAGCTCCTAGCCACCTTAGCAGAGAGTTGGATTGGAAGTGGAGCAGCAGGGACTTGAACTGGCGGTCAGTGGGTAGCCTGCATCGCAGGTGGCAGCTTAATCCACTGCACCACAAAGCCGGTTCCACATTTGTTACTTTTGTCAGGGTTTGGTGACTGGGAGGTAGACTTGTGCAGAATCATATTTCTACTAAGGTTGGTGATACCTCAAATAGTTTAGAAGCAATCTGATTTTTTAATTCTCACTGGAGCTATATAAAACCTACATTTAACATGGTAGTCTGATCGCAAATATAACTATTACAATTTTTATCTTCAGCAATAAATAAATAAGGTAAACTGAGACCCAAACTTAATTGGTTAAAATAATATTAACAGGAGTAGGTGGTTAGCCTGGTACTTAGGACACTCACGTTCCACTTCGGAGTACCTGTATTAAATCCCTCCAGCTCTGGCATCTGACTCCAGCTTTCAATATAGACCCTGGATGGCAGTGATGATGGCTCAAATAATAGAGTCTCTGCCACCCAGATAAGAGTCTTGAATTGAGTTCCTGGCTCCTGGCTTTAGTCCTAGCTATTGTGGGCTTCTGGGGAGTGAACCAAGCAGATAAGAGCTTGTCTGTCTGCCTCTCTCTTTCTCTCTGCCTCTCTCTGTCAGCCTCACAAATTAAAAAAAATTAAAAAAAGATACATTGATGATTACTTCTTAGGGATGTATGATCCAACTTGGTACAATACTATCCCTCATTCATACCATGGAAAATGTACCACACTTGGAGCCAACTTAAGTTAATGTTTTAGCTGTGCCATTTGCTGGATGATTTTAGAAAAGCTATCTAATCTCTTAAATTGTCAGGTTCCTGATCTATACAAAAGTAAGTATTATTAACCTTAAGTGCTGTAATATAAAATATATATGTAATATAAAAAGAGATTATGAAAATGATAACTCAATAATGATTTCATATAGAAGAAAACTTGAAGATTACCAGATCTGAAATTTGATTTTTTTTTCCAATTCTAACTTAAATGTCATTTACTCTGAGAACTGGTAACTGACTTTACAAAATTCTATTTGATCCTTCCCTCTATAATCTCTTAGAATTTGAAAACAATGCTGTAGAGTACTTCATCTTTCTTGGTGACATCTTAACCTGTTGAATGTCTCTCTCTCCCAAAGAAGTAACTTAGCATAGTGATAAGGTAAAGCCAACACATGGAAGGGAAGGGGAGAGGGAGTGGGAGAGGGGAGCGTTGTGGGTGGGAGGGAAGTTACGGGGGTGGGGGGGGAGGAAGCTATTGTAATCCATAAGCTGTACTTTGGAAATTTATGCTCATTAAATAAAAAAAAAAAAAGCCAACACATGGTAGTTGTTAATATTTGGCTGGTGAAGACATTATCTGGGTTATGCCCATTCCCCCACTGAGAAATAATCTTTATATGCACATTTATTAACATATTATCAGTTTAATAAAATTGATAAAGAAGTGAGCTAGAAATTTTAGTCCCCAAAATCAAAGGATGGCATTTTTTTATTTCAACATTTCAATGATTTATATCAAAACATTTCTTTACCTTCTTCAGGTTAAACTGGAACCTGGTAACAATTACCCAAATTCAGTATGTCAAAAATCTCTGTTCTTATTTTGAAGGGTTGAGTAATGATAGTAAATGGTAACTCTAAGTACCTGATAATATGTTTAAACCAATGGCACCAAACATCGACATTCGATACCAAATGGATTAGGTTCTTGAAGTTCAAGTCTCACAATAATAAGGTTACTTCATAATATCAAAGAGTCAAAAAAAAAAAAAAAACTTGGCTTTAAGATTTAAAATGAAAATGAACTAAAACTCTTCAGTGCTCGAATTTCACATACCAGTGGGACTGATATATGTTTCTGCAAAGAATGTACTAGAGGGAATCAGGAAACCTAGGTCTCATTTTTTATTCTACCAATTCAAGATACATGATCATAAGATCATTTCAATTATTAGATTTCAATTAGCTCATCCATAACTTTCAAGAGAAAAATAATGCGGTTTAAATCTCAATGGAAAATCATAGGGCAGGGTAGAGGTTCTAAAGGTCTGTCAAGAAAGAAAAAGAAAAAAGGAAACAATGAAGTAGTAGAGAGAGGGAGGGAGAAGTGGGTAGGGAGAAAAACAGCACTGATTAATACTTTCTTACAATGTGCAAAGGTACTTCAAACAGTAGAACTTGAAACTAGAATTAAAACATAATTTCTTCCTGGTGAAAAAAAATTTTGAAATCCTTGCATGGAAGGGGGTCTTCAAAAAGTTCATGGGAACTTTGATGTAAAGCAAAGAAACCAATGTCTCTAGAATCTACCCTTCAAGTTATTTACAGATTACCACACTGATCCAATGAAACCTTTAAAATTCTTTCATCCTCACCTTAATTCCCAAACAAATCACTCTCTCTCTACATATATACATACATAGATATATATACATATACCTACATATATATATATATATATATATATATATATATATAAAGTTTTATCTTCTATAAGCATCTCAGTGTGTGTATAGCAACAACCAACATGTCTGCCTCCAGATATAACAGTACAGGGTAGGGAATGGGCCAAAATGCTTCCTCACAATACCAACAGATCTTGCTTAAGCATCAATAATTTTTAGCTTGGAAAAGGATGCCTTTTTGCTTACAGCTGTATCTCTTGCCAGTCTGGCATTGTTTTCCAATATTATATGCTCATAACTAAGTTTCATAAAAAAGAACAAATTGCTCAAACTGGGCCTATAAAAACAAGAAAGCTGATTTTCATGTTGGACTATTAAACTAGTATAAATATTTGATGCCTGACCTTCACTAGTATCCTTCACATTCTTTCTCATTCTGTAGTTAAGTCATTACCTGAACTTTAATCTTGACAGTTACTTACAAGGGGTTAGAGAGAAATTAAAACTATAAAAAAGAGAAGAAAGGAGGAAATGGAAGATAGAAAATAATCTTGATCATCATAGACTCAAAAATATTATTCAATGTCTCTTTACTACATACCAGAGCACTAAATGAGTATACAACGATTACTATAAAGAATGATAAATGCTAAACTATAACATGTTCTAGGAACACAAAAAGACTGAATAATTCAAGCAACCACTGGCAAAGGAGTCTTCACAAAGGAAGTTGCACAAAGTTGAACTGAGATAAATTCAGAAATTGAAGACAGAACAAGAACAAAGGCACAGAGGTATAAAATGCATGACAAGTAGTTTAGTGTGAGTGAAATACACTGCACAAGAAGTCAGACAAGTATAGCTGAGGTAGGGTGAAAATAGTAACCAAGATTTAGTCCATGAATATCACACTAGGGGCTGGCACTGTGGTATAGCATGTTAAGCTACCAAAGAGATGGCATTCCTTATGGGAGCACAGGTTGGAATCTTGGCTGCTCCATTTCTAATCCATCCCCTTGCTGATGTGCCTGGGGAACAGAAGATGGCCCAAGTGCTTGGGTTCCTGCCAGCTACGTGGGAGACAAGGATGGAGTTCCTATTTCTTAATTTCAGCCTGGCCCAGACTTGGCTATTGCAGGCATTTGGGGCGTAAAACGGTGGATGGAAGATTGATTGTTCTTTCTCTCTCTCCCTGTCACTCTGCCTTTCCAATAAACAAATATAAAAAAAACCATTGCAGTAATAAAGTTAATCCTTAAGGTTCTAAGATAACAGTGGAAATTTTTAAGCAGGGTAGTATAATACAATTTGATTCTTTGTTTCTTATTTTTAATAAAGATTTATGGAGCCGGCGTTGTGGTGCAGTGGGTAAAGCCGCACCAGTTTGAGCTCCAGCTGCTCCACTTCCAATTCAGCTTCCTGCTGATGCAACTGCGGAAGCAGAAGAAGATGGCCCAAGTGCTTGTGCCCTTGCACCCACATGGGAGACACAGAAGTTCCTGGCTCCTGGCTTTGGTCTGGCTCAGCCTTAGCCATTGCGGTCATTTTGGGACCAAATCAACAGAAGGATGATCTCTCTCTGTCTCTCTGCAACTCTGCCTTTCAAATAAATAAAATAAATTCTTTTTTTTTTAATTTTTTAATTTTTTAATTTTATTTTTTTGACAGGCAGAGTGGACAGTGAGAGAGAGAGACAGAGAGAAAGGTCTTCCTCTGCTGTTGGTTCACCCTCCAATAGCCGCTGCGGCTGGCGCGCTGCGGCCGGCGCACAGCGCTGATCCGATGGCAGGAGCCAGGTACTTATCCTGATTTGTTTACTTACAAAGGCAGAATGCTAGAGAAACAAAGACAGAGACAGAGAGAGACATTCCATCTGCTGGTTTACTCCCAAATAGCCATAGAAAGCAAGTCTGGTCCAGGCAGAAACCAAGAGCCCCATCAGGAACTCCATACAAGTTTCCCAAGTGGGTGGCAGGGGCCCAAGCATTTGGGCCACTTTCCACTGTTCTTCTAGGCACATGATTAGGGATCTAATTGGAAGCTAAGCAGTTGGGACTCAAACCACACTCTGATATAGGATGCCAGTATTGCAGATAGAGGCTTAACCTGCTGTGCCACAATACCAGCTCCAATACTTTTTTTTTAAATTTACATTCATTTT